TTTTTAATATTTATTTATTTATTTTGTGTGTGGCCAGCTCAGCCCACCAGGGGGTGGGGCTGGCTGGCATGTGGTGCTGGGGGATTGAACCCCCATCCCGTGCTTTGCTTAGCTTGTTCTAAGTAGGTGCTTTAGACCACTGAGCCATCTCACCAGCCCCTTTTGGTTTTTTTTGAGACAAAATCTTGCTGCATATTCTAGGCTGGGCTTGAACTTATGATGTAGCTCAGATTTGCCTTGAACTCACAGCAATCCTCTTGCCTCAGTCCCCCATGGATTCTAGGCATGCACTACCATACCTGGTGATGTGTCTTCTGATACTCTTTTCAATTGCTCTAAAGATGGACGTGGCTAGGTTCAGTGCATAACCTTAATTTATCTGAGGCTTCCCTTTACTTGTCAAAACATTTAGCCAATATTTAATCCATTACAATAATTCCATTCCTAGGAAAACAAACAGAGAACTGAAGAGCTGTTTGGGGAGGAGTATGCAGGTGGCTTTCGGTGGAAAATTTTAGATACTTCTTAGCTGATTAACCTTGTGGATTATGTTTATATTGTATCTGGTTTTTTTTTTTGGTGGAACCAGGGATTGAACTCAGACCCTTGTGCTTGCCAGGGAAGCGCTTATTCCACTGAGCCATCTCCCCGGCCCATGTATGTTTTAAATATAATGAAATCAAAGCTCCAAAAGCTTCAGTAACATGCAAGACACACACAGCTAGGCAAAGTTAAGACAAAGATCTGGCCCTAAGCGTTCCAATTCTGAAATCTGTGCTTTTGCCTTGGCTCCACTCCAGCAGCCCTTTTGAATGGCTATTTATATGCACATTTCTTAATGGTGGACCATTCACATTGTTTTTATCAGCCACACGCAAAGATCATGAATCAAGATTCAGAGCAGAAGGAGTACATGGTCACACAAAGAGCTCAGAGATGTTGAGTGACTCGTCCAAGATCAACCAGCTACTATAAGGCTGATCTTGTCTTTGATCTTAGGTCTGACGGGTCCAGAATGGTCCTTTTTAACTAGGTGTACAGATGATGCAGTGGGAAGGAACTCGTATGACAGAAGTCATGGATTCTAGTCTGTTTCAATACAGCTTAGTAGCTGTATCACCTTGGCCACATACCTTGCTCTCTGTAAAATGGACATAATAATCTATTACTTAACTAAGAAGTGAGGATCCAAATGGACGTAAACGGGGGCTGGAGAGATGGCTCAGTGGTCTAAGGCACCTACTTGGAACAAGCTTGGCAAAGCATCAGGGACCCGCGGTTCAATCCCCCAGCACCACATGCCAGCCAGCCCCGCCCCCTGGTGGGCTGAGCTGGCCACACACACACACCACACTCTCTCTCTCTCTCTCTCTCTCTCAAATAAAAATAAAATAAAAAAAAAAAAAAAAATTAAAAAAAAAAAAACAAAAACAAATGGACGTAAACGTGTTCTGCCCCCCCCCAATAAATGAGATGGGATGGGTCGGTCAGTCTGAGACTGTCTGAGACTGTCAGTGGCTGTGTGACCTTGGGCGAAGTGAGTGCCTCGGTTTTCTCATTTGCAAAATGGGAATCCAGTAACTACTCCAAAACGTTGTTGTGACAATTACATTAGAGCATTTAAACAAAGGGCTGCCTGGCACACAGTAAATCCAATCAATCAACGTCAGCCTCTACTCTCGGGTCTTGAGCTACCTTAAGAACTGACTTTCAAAGCTACCATAGGGTCCTGAGCTTCAGCTTCGGTCTTGCTATTCTCCGTTTCCTTCCTCAGACCCTGACCCTCCTTTTCCAGGCCATAGACCAGCTTAAAACCTTCCAGGAACCCCAGCCCACCGCCCGGTTTCGGCGCCGTCTCTTACTCGACGACCTTGGCTGGATCCCCGTGGTTCCCATAGACCAGCGCCCTCACGCGGGAGGGATCGGTGGATGCAGAGTAGGAAGAGGCCGCACCATAGTGGCGGCTCCAAGATGCGAGCAGCCCTGGTGGTAGCTGTGCGGGCGTTCGCGCCCACTCCAGCGCGCAGCGGACCCACATGCTCCCCGCGAACACCACAGAACCTGGCGCACCTGGAAACGTCATCTTTCCGCGCCCCGCGCCTGTGCCCCTCCTCCAGCCTCGCCCCTTCCCGCCTCGTGACCACGCCTCTTTAAAGGGCTCGCTTATTCCTCCGCTGCCCGCGCGGTGGCGCCTAGCTAGGCAGAGCGGGAGGCCCGGGTTGCGGGCCAAGGTGGGACCTGGGGAAGTTGCAGCTTCTGAATCCGCCAAAGTAACTTTTCCAACATGGTATGTCTGAGACTGTGGTGTGAAACCGTGTCTACAGCTGAGCTTTGGTGTTTGATTTGGGAGAAGTCGTTTATCCTCTCTTGGTCTCCGTTTTCCCTTCCCACCATTAAAAAGATATATATAT